GGGCAGGGACCAAGTTTCTGTTTTGTGCCTCTGGGGCTTGGCACAGTCCTGGTACTGAGTAGGTGCTCAGGAAATCCCTGTTGAAAGGATCCAGGAGTTTAAAGTCATAGTTGGTGCTGCATCGAGTCCAGAGAGGAAACGGGTCTGTGAGGAGCCTGCATGTCTGTGGTGGGCAGGGAGGTGGCGTGTAGGGGGCAGAGACTGTAGACTACTTTGGCCTGCTACCGTGCCCTGTGCTTGGGAGAGAAGTGCAGCATTCTGGATGGTTCTTTACGCAATCCCTCTTTTCTGAGCACAGCCACACCACAGGAGGGCAGTGAGGCCTCCTTTCGAGGGAGGGGAATGCCTGGGGTGCCTAACCATCAATGACCTGGTTAGGACTATTGGATTCTTGTGCTGAATGTCAACTGTTTATCTCACGAGTTAGGTAGAGATGAGTTTCTTAGAAGATGTGGATAACAGCCTCAGCCTGGAGACATGTCTGGTGTTTGATGATGACACGCAGTTATTGAGTGCTTGCTGTATGCAGGCCTTGGGGCAGATCATCCATGGGTTCTCTCTTTCAAAGGACCTGACTACCTTTGAAGGTAGATGCCGTTACCTCTCAATCACAGGCAGGATACTGCTTCTTAGCCACTGATGCTGGCCTGTGGAACCTGGGATCGATTCTTGCTAACTCCTTGTTCTTTCCCTTGTCCCTTCCCAGAGCCCGTTACCTGTGGGAAACTTTTGATTGCCTAAGGGATGGTTTTGTGGACACATTCTGGTTTACTCTTTTTAGCAGTAAACATGAACGGTGCTTCCTGGTGTGTGAGGAACACAGCGTGCAGTGGTGCTCTGTGTCAGCCAGACCCGTGGAAACCATGAGTCAGTTTCAGATAAGGCTTTCCAGGGTGCATGGGCCCCTTTAGGATCATTCTTTCTCCCCTAATGTGTGCCCACGGTGAGCTGAAGTTCTGCTCCCTGGCTGGTGTGATCCAGCTGCATGGTCAGCCTCAAGAGGAGGCAGCAGGAGGTGCCCCGCCTTGAACCAGGGGCGATGAAGCCTCTGCCATCCACAGCGGGACAGTAGATGGACTTAGGAGCTCAGACAGCCGAAACGTGAGTTGGAGCAGAAAGCTTCACGTCCTAACGAGAGCTGGCACACGAGAGCTTCAGATGGCAGAAATATCATTAGAAATCACTCTTGCAGAGGAAGCGTGGGTAAGCGGGCACTTGGTTAGATGAATGCTGCTCACAGCAGGTGGCATGGTGGGGGCCAGGCTGGGTTGAGCTGCTTGTGTGGCCTCTGTTATCTGTGCATTTGGGTGGGTGGGTGGGCGGGCACCCATTCTGTGCCATGCAGAGTACAGAAACTGTTCTGAAAGAACGCCATTAGTTCCAGTGAAGGCAGGCCCAGTCCTCCTGGAAGGAGCCACACCAGAGTTCCTTGGGCCCCCATCAAGACCTTTTTAGAGCTCATCGAAGGCTTCTAAAGGTTCTAGTCTCATTGAGTTTCTAAGAAAAGGATTTATTCACTACAGACCTAAGTAATTTTTGTATGCCTGACTTAGTATAAGAGCAAAAAACCCAAGCGTGGCGGTGGGTTGGGGGGTCCTGTCTAGGTATTGCAGCCTTAGTTGTGAGCTTTCTATACGTGGAAAGTGCAGGAACTAGTTGACCACAGTCTGGCTGGGACCCCCACCGCTGAATCCATCTTTGGGTGCTGCGGTTCTCTTCTGGGATGTGTGAGAGTACACACCCCCCTGTCATCAGCTATGGGCAGATCGCATTTGCCAAGGGATGTTTAGTAAGTTCACACAGGTTGATGATACAGGCCAAAAATAGGACCCTTCTCTCTGGCCTGAAGCAGCCAAGGGAACTTGGAGGGGGTGAGCATGCTGAGCGGCAGTTACACGCCGAGGCCACTTCAGCTCTTGCGGTTGCTGGTTCAGAAGCAGTGGTGATTTTAATCAGCTAAGTCATTTCTGCGTCTCGTTGTATACTCCTGGAAGTTCTTAGAGAAATCCTGCCAAGAAAATATCCCCTGGTGAATCCTCGGGGCGCTAGTCCACGCCGCACTGTCAGCAAGTATCTGCTGAAACAAGTATTTTTGAATTTTTAGCTTTTCTGTAGCTCCAGTCTTTTTCAAGTACTTCTTTTGACCTTCAAGTAACAACGGGCACTTGCTTTAAAGATTCTGACAGTCTTCCAAGCCTTTTAACATTCTTATTCCACTAAATAAGCTGTCGTCGTTCACTGGGACAGGCAGTCCTGGCTTGAAATTCCATGAAACGTCACCTCCTCTGTGAAGCCTTCTACAAGACAGAGTTGTCTATTTCCTGCTTAATTTTACTATGAAATATCTCAAATTAGAACCTGTACCCACCACCAAGATTAGGTAGATGTTCACATGTTGCAACGTTTGTCTTCAGACGTTGTTCAAAAACAAGTAATTGTTTTTTTGTCATTGTTAAGGCGTACCTCCCCAGTTCCTTTTCCTTCCCGCCGTCCTTTCCAAAAGGGACTACTTCCTGAAAATACAGTTCTTTATGTTTTTGAAATTCTGCGTAAACCATTTGAAATGGAAGGAGAAAGTCTGTGACATACTAAGACAAGCAACACTTACCAGAAGTATAAATTCTGTTTTGCAGTTAATTAAATATTTGATTCCCTACTATGTTTCAGAGATGTATAAAATGTGATTAAGTAAAAGGCATTTAACTTTTAGAGACTTGGAGATGGGCAGGGTATATAGTAATCTGCCAGCCAGAGTAGGGAAGATGTTAAAGAAGATAACCTGTGAGATGGGTTTTGAAGAGTGGATAGGAGTTTGCCAGGCAAGTTCTGCCACCTCAAAAGAATGGTTCCTTGGCTGTTAGATGCTTGTGTCATTACAGGCTTGGGATTACCAAAAAGCTATGCTTGTCCCTCCCTTCCTGACGCTTCTGAGGCTGGAATGTCTATGTCTCCCATCTACTTCCTTAGGAGGTGTGGGTTACAGGGTGGTGTGGGGGTACAGTTGGGAGTGAATTACTACTTGACCTTGGGTACATGATAACTTTGAGTATAGAGTCCATGCTTTTCCTGAGTACTTCTTCAGAATCCTTCCTGCTTGGTTCTAGGTGTGAAGCAGGAGCTGGCTGTCAGAGGACTCGTTCAATTCAGTGGAAAGAGTACAGGAGCGTGGTTTTCTTTTGAATGGAAACCATGGGTATAGCGGTTCTTCTTTATGACTTGCTACATAATCATGCAGGAGAATGCCTGTCACGGGATTGGATCCTAGGAGATTAATCCCATTGCTAATTAAAAGCCCCATTAAAAGAGGGGAAATTCTTTTAGGAATCTACAGCTTCCTAAGATTTGAATGGTTTGAAAAGTAGAATGTTGGCTGGGCATGGTGGCTCACGCCTGTAATCCCAGCACTTCGGGAGGCCAAGGCAGGCGGATCACAAGGTCAGAAGTTCGATACCAGCCTGGCCAACATGGTGAAACCTCGTCTATACTAAAAATACAAAAATTATCCAGGCATGGTGGTGCGTGCCTATAATCCCAGTTACTCAGGAGGCTGGGGCAGGAGAATCCCTTGGACCTGGGAGGCAGAGGTTGCAGTGGGCTGAGACCGCGCCGTTGCACTCCAGCCTGGGTGACAGAGTGAGACTCTGTCTCAAAAAAAAAAAAAAAAAAGGTAGAATGCTGGCTGAGCATAGTGGCTCATGCCTGTAATCCCAGCACTTTGGGAGGCCCAGACCAGTGGATCACTTGAGGTCAGAAGTTCAAGACCAGCCTGACCAACATGGTGAAACCTCATCTCTACTAAAAATACAAAACTTAGCCAGGTGTGATAGTGGGCACCTGTCGTCCCAGCTACTCAGGAGGCTGAGGCAGGAGAATTGCTTGAACTCGGGAGGCGGAGCTTGCATTGAGCCAAGATCACGCCACTGCACTCCAGCCTGGGTGACAGAGTAAATCTCCCATCTAAAAAAAAAAAAAAAAAAAAAAAAGGTCAGATGCAGCTGGGAATGTGGTTCGTGCCTTTTTGTATATTAACCATTTGAAACTTGGTTGTAAAGTGGGGTTGGCAATGTCAGGCCTGGCTGTAGCAGCTCATTTCTGTAGAGTATGCCTCTCCCCTCCCTCATGGGGCTCGAGCAAGACTACCTTCATACATGGGCTCTCCAGTTACATAGCAACTCCAGTGTTAAATTCCATCTTTTCTTCCTGGAAAAACCGTAGAAAGGACACCTGGACATGCCTGCTGCACAGGTGTCTGCCTTTCCCATCAGCGCAGAAAGAGGAACTTTGCGCCCTGCACTCCTCACAGCTGTGTGTGCACAGGAAGTGATTCGGACGATGTGGGTCCCACCCTATATTCCTTCTCTGTTCCATGTAGAGCAAAATAAATGGGAGTGCTGTTTAATGCATCACCTCGGTTCATATTGCATTTGCCAAGAAAGTGCAATTTTATTGAACATTAGGATTGAATTCTTAACTGAGTAATCAATTTCAGAAGTAAGTTAAAATGCCTTCTATTAATGGACGACTGCAACCGTTAATCAGAGTTACAGTAGATTAACAGTTGTCAGCATTTCTGCTAATAGCACTTATAAACCGTGGGCTCATGAATTGCACTTTATAATTCCATATTTCTCAAAACAGTTGGTAATACTTTTTGCTTGAAGGTATTGATTCTTTTGTCCCTTTGCTTGCTACTTGGAGATGTAGAGAAAGCTAAATGACATTTTCACGGCGACGACACAATATCACCTGCTTTTGCACACTTGGCTCTGTGTCAAAATAGATGGAAAGAGTTCATTTGTTCTGGTGCTCTACTGTTTAATTTGATCTGGTGTGTGACTAAAGCAAGACAAATAGTATTTTTAGTGAAACCATTTAATAACCTCTGGTAGCTTAGAGTCGAAGGCATTGGAAAAATGCAATTAAAGGATGCCTAGATGTAAACAAACAAACAAAAAAAATCACTACCTCAACTTCACTGACTCCATTCATTTTGCTTTCAGGGTTTCATCACCTTAAATGGTTTTGAACCAATGAAGCTGTATTCCCTTAAAAAGACGGACAGCCCATCGTGTGAACTATAGAGTTTGTGGACAGACTTATATTGGTGAGTTATTGTGAAATATCTCCAGGTAAAAGTTCAGTTTTCTAGAATCCCCTTTGCAACGTGTTTTCAATTAGTTGATGAGTATGGATTGCCTACAGCCTCTGGCTGTTTCATTGGGATGTCTAATCACGGGATCATATTGATTGTCTTTCAATTAATTGCATCTAGTATTTTCATTTATCAAAAGCAAAATACATGTAATTAACTCTGAAGCAATATAGTTCAGTGTAAAGTGATTTTTGTTGCTGCTGCTATAGAGATAAGTCAACGGAAATTATACGACAAGGAAACTCAAGTCAGAATGAAAATAGTGTTAGGATTTCTCGATGTTATTAATTAAAAAGAATAAAAATGAATTAGAGAAACCATCTCATGACACCCCGAGTCAGTCATAAGTGGTAGATGGATGTCTTTAGGAAGAAGACGGCTTGCGGATGCTGGCACCTCTTCAGTCAGCTTAGACTTTTAGTGTTACCGGTCCCTAGGATGTCTGGAACATACCATTTTTCTGGGGGAGTAGATTGGGAATGTAGGTGCAGGCTGAGATGAGCATTCAATCCTGACCGCACTCATATTGATGGAGTTCAATCCTGCACCCGTAGCAGGGTTTTGGGATTCTAACTTTCATTTCGGCATGCCTTTAGCCATTTTTCACAAAACCTGGATCTTACTTAAAGTCTCAAAGTGGCAACTTCTCTGATGGAATTGATTTTAATCTTGCTTTTTTAAAAAAACGTTTTCTCCCTGAGGTAACAGCGTCATTCAAAAGCAAGGGAAACCGCTAGCCAATTGATTGTGTCCTGTCTCTCTCACCTGTCACACTCCTAGCAGAGCCTTGAGGGGACTCGCTTTGGTTCCCAGAAAGGTTTAGGTTTGTGACCGGGCCTCAGGCCTGGCTTCCCAGGTTGCTGGAGGCGGTTAGAGACTTGGAGCCCAGGGGCACACATGGGCGACCACCTGAGGGGGACAAGCTGAATCTCTGCCTGAACCCAAGCAGCACCATGGGTTGTAGGATCAGGAAAGGGTCTCTGTGTGTCCCTTCCTTTTCTCTATAAAGTAGAGCTAGCTGGGGAAACTGAGGTAGCTGACCCAGACCTAGACCTGCAAAGATTACCAGCTTGGTGACTGAGCACGTGGCCTCTGCTGGCACTTGGAAGCCTTATCTGTGAATTGAACAGGGGTATTGGGCTGGTACCCCGAACCCTCCCCACCCTTTAAACTTGAATTTGATATAGAAATTCAGAACCCTTTCCTGGGAGTGCTCTGACAGGGCTTGCTAAGGGCCAAAGGCCATAGCAGAGCATGAAGCTCAAGTTATGTATGAGAGGGTCCGCTGAGTCATCTTCGAACGGTTAAGGCTCTTAGCATTGAGGAGGATGAGGAACTGGAAGTATGATGGAATGATCTTTGGTGGAAACCTGAGGGAGGTCAGGACCACCATTCACAACCTTATTCAGTTCAGCCTTTCAGGACCAACATTGCTTGCTTTTCTGGCTCTCACTCTCTCAGAGAGAGCTGTGTGCCTGAACCTGCCCAGGATACTCAGGCAGAGACAAAGTCAGCTTGGGCCTGGGGTTGGCAGAGATACTTCCAGTGTTGGCTGCTGAGTCCGAAGATGTTTTCAGTGGTTGGGTCATGGTGATGTCTCCAGTTGGACACCATGGAAGTGGCCGTGTTGGACCTCCATGCCCTTTCACCCAGACAGGTACCAGGCCCTGCCTGCCTGGGAGTGTCTCCGCTGGATGGACCATCAGTACGTTTCATAGATGCTCATTTCGGGGTTGGAAATCATCTTCCCTAAACAGAAGGATGCAGGAACTTGGTGTATAAGAATGAAGTAGACTTTTTAAATATCAAAAATGGTTGAATGAGGGCATTTTCATTTGACTCAGTCTAATAACCAGAGCCACTCTGGGATCCTGTTTAGCAGTGATCTCCATCTCAGACAGATGAGCTAACATTCTCCAAATGCATCCAGAACCAGAATGAAATTATGACATGCTTCCTGTTAACAAATGTTTCCTGAGTGCCGAGCAGACTCAAGACACTTACCCTTATGTGGGGTTCCCACCATTCCTGTATTTTTGGCATCCTTTTGGGTAAGAGTTTTTTATAGCACTTTGGAAGAGCTGAAGAGACTTGGTGTGGTACTGGAGCTGGCCGTCACTGGAGCATGGTCACTGTATTGTGCTAACGGCTCATGGTGTCCACGACCCACGCACACACACTGAGTGTGGCCCCATTGGCCCACCTGCCCCCCCAGAACCAGGATAAAACTTCTCCCCTGACCATTTGCAGATACTCTTATGGTGGAATTCTCACATGGCCCCAGAAGGCGTGTGTTTGCTCTTAGACCCTTTCTGCTCTGTGGAACGTCACTATGCCCAGGGAGTTGTATCCAGCTCTGCCTGCTGTCTACATGCAGCAACACAGGGAGGTCATGTGGGATTGTAACCAAAGTAAGGACCACATAGGGATTTCAACCAGAGCCCACCTGTTGAGATCCCTGGTGTAGACACATCTTTTAAAGTGGGGGCAGAGGAGAAGGAGGTAGATGAAAAGCATGTGATGCCGTCAGAGGTAATGACGAATCCGTGAGGCACTAGAGCCATTTATACGTTGTTTTTGCCCTCTTAGTATTTTCTTTAGCGTGTCCTAATTTAAAAAGCATCCTATTCCCGTTGTGCTAGACTTAATATTTTGGTTTATGGCCGTCTTTTTTAGTAACTTGACATCACATACTTAGCCTTCTAACAAGAGGCTCGTTTTCTCAATAATGAATAGTGACGTGCTAAATTTAGATCTGACGCATGTTCTGCTTTTACTATCTGTTCTCTATGTTGCTACTTGTCAGAATGAAAGCTCAACATGTCAGATGGCTTTGCTGGCTTCTCCTGGAAAAAGACTTCATTCTTCATCACTTCAGTTGGGTCATGGTTTTTTAGTACCATTTTGTTATTAAGCATTAATATTTGCAGCAGTACCCAATTATCTTTTTTAACAAAAGTATCATAGAAAAAGTGTTTTTGGCTAAATGTTCATAAATGAGTGGGAATGCAAATCAAATCCCTTAACTTATATTATGTAAAGTGGTGATAGAATAGTTGCAGCTGTGGTTTTGCAAAGATAAGACTGTTTCCGGCTGCCGTGCCTGCTGTATTATGTATTTTGATGAATCTCCAGGATGATGTAGAAGCTTTGCCTGCCTACCAGGGCCTCTGGGAAAGACAGTCTGAGGTGATACGGTGCTGGAAACTCCGTGTGATTGGTTGTGGAAGAGGGGTTTGCCTTGATCTGCCATGGGAAACCAGGCTGGATGACCATCTTGAGTTGTGGCTGTAGCAGGCCACCTAGGTGAGGTCATCTTCCTGATCGTTGGGCCTCTAGCCTGCTTCTGGTAGGACAGATATCTTTTTTCCATGAAAAACAGAAGGAAAGTATTGAATTACTCTGGAAACACATACCTAAACCTTGGGGTCCGATTGTCAATGACTGTAAAGTGGCGGAGGTGTTGGGCCACGGCCATTCTGCCACTCTGGTCCCAGTGTGTGGCCCCCAGGGTCCTTCAGGCCCTTGGCCTCCTGAGCTCCTGGTCTGCATGCATCCATGGGGCCTTTGCTAGGGCCATGTGTTCCTGCTCCAGTGTTTGGGCTTGGAAGCAAGGCTGCCAACATCGGAAACCACAAACCAGAGGAAGATCCACAGGGCCTTTCATCTCTGGGTTTCTCTAGATGAGAAACAGCCAGGAGGCTGAGATGGGGTGGTGAAGAAGAGGCCAGTGAAGCTTTAGCCAGCCTTCAGAGTAGGGGAGGAGGGGCCCCCACCGAAGCTCTTGGTTCTTACTTGGATTTTATTCCTGTGCCTTTTGGACTGGAGCTGTGCTTCGGAATCCCAACCTCCCTCCACCCCCCAGAGACAAATGGGAGGCGTTGATTCAGCCTTTGTTCTTTTCTCCTGAGCATCTCAACAACCTAGTGTGGCCTCCCAAGTAGGGGTGGAGAGATCACCCCATCCATTCCCCTTCTTTTTGTTTTAGTGTCTACGTGGGTCCAGGGTCACACAGGGGTCATGCCCTCCATCCTCCTGGTAAGTTTGGCTTTCTGCTGTTACTGTTGTTTTCTGCCTCCTGCGCCACCCTGGCTGCTGGTTCTCATCCAAGTGGATTTGCAAAGTAGAGAGGAAGAGACGAGGCAGAAGGCCCGAATTTTCCCTCTGTCACCCATGTGTCAGGACTCTGTGGCCGGCCTGGGTGGGTCCCTGCTGAGTTGTTCCTTCACTGGAGGGGTACCTCCAAGCAGGGCCTCCGCAGGGTGGTGGGCACACTTGCCTCTCACTCCTGGAGGGGCCAGGAGTCTCTGTTGCCACTGAGTGACATTATGCTGGGAAATGAAGGCGTGGTGTCCACTTCTCTTTCCATGATCCTCATACCCTTGCCAAGACCCCTGTTTTGTTAGTGAAGAACCTGACGCTCAGATCCACCTGCCAGCACGTGTAGCCTTAGGTAGACCCGGTATTCAGCCACTGGTGAAGCAACCCCAAACTCAGGCCACCCCGCGTCCCTTGCTGGCGGGAGCCTTTCCAGAAACACTCAGGCGGCAGTGAGCCTGGCTTCCCGAATACTGTGTGGTCCCTTTATAGTGAAGATGACTTCCCGGGTCTTTGTTCCTGGACGGTGTCTGAGGCTTGTCATGGTACCATCCCACCCCGGGGTGTGGGAGGAAGAGCACTTGGTCCATGTGAAGTGGGGTCACACATGGGGCTGCATCTTGCCCCTGAGGGTGTGGCAGTGCATGGAGAATGGGCCTCTGCTGCCCCTCAACAGCCAGCCCTGGTGGAGACCCCCCCCGTGTCCCAGACAGGCCTGGCCACTGGGATGGCAGCCCTGTTGTGTGGGACAGCCAGAGACATGGGTCAGCGGCTGATTTCTCTGAGGTTTGGAGCGCGTGTTCATTAAAGGCAAGAAGAGTGGGAAGGAATGGATGGAGCCACGCGGCAGGGCC